TGGCCTGAAGATGAAAGGCGGGAAACTTTCGAAAAGTCGTCGTCTTCACTGGATCTGCATAAGTAGATCGTATAGTCACCAATATCTTTCTACAAGTGCTTCCCTAATAGGCAGTACCGCCCATTTCGCAGTCAACTCAATAAGGACTCTCTGCCTAAACTATCTACTAAAGAATACCAAAAATCGGTTTTCGATACCTGCAGTGGGCAAAGCAGATAACTATTTGTGTAGCTTTGTGTTTAACAAAAACAATCCGTCAAGCTCAAACATATTGTTGTAAACATTGTAGCAAGGACTGTAGTTAAATATATAGATGTTGTTTTCTACTTAAATAGATAAACGTGTTGGTGCTGGCTTCATTTTATTAACATAACAGTAATTCGATGTGTGGTGTTCATTATATACAGGGTTATAGCTTTGTTCAATGAATTTCAGCTCCCTAGCTATGAAAGTTTTCCAGCTTCACTGGCCTCAAATGCTGTTGACCAGCTGTCTTTCCTCTAGCCTATCAGTTCATAATTAGGTACGGCTATGCACAGATAACCCTCTTGTATCTTTGCATAAAAATGTTAAAGTCAAATTAGCAAAGAAGGTCAGGCGTAGTGGATGAAGGAGTCCAAGGCACGAGACGTGATGCTGCCATCCTCCAGTGGGTAATCAGTAAGTTTTCGAACTCATAGTGCTGCCATCTGATGGACAAAATGCATATAGATCGTATATAGACAGCTATACCCGAACCCGAAGTTTATTGACCTGATATCTATATCCTCGTGAAGTGCCTTTCAGGTTAAAAATATCAATTCCAATTCTTTATTTGAAATGGTGTTATAGTAAGTGATTTTATCTGGTGTCTCTTATACTAAGAAACGTTATATTATCGCTAAGACATTTTGAAATTTGATCAAAATGATCCTGAAAAGCCCTCATTTTAATCCTTTTGTTAGCTGTTTAAAATTCCCGGCTTCAAACGTAAATTTTTGAAGACACGAGCACAGGGGTCGGCAACCTGATTTGTTCGGCTTTCGGGCTATCTGCTGATCTTAGCGTTGTAAATCCGAAGACTCACCGCTGTCCCACATTTTTTTTTTTTTTAGGTTAGACCGTTAGGACGTATTGCGGCTCTTTCTCGAAATGTTTTTGTCTAAAAAAAAAAATTGGCTTTTCTTCTATGAAGGGTTGCCGACCCCTGCAGTAGCAAATGGTTACTAGTTACTTTCAGAGAATTATTTACCTGTCTGCGGAGTAACGTCACTCGGTCTTGGTTATTATCAAAGAACTATTTACCTGTCTGCGGAGTAACATCAATTGACCTTGGTTCTTATCAAATAACTATTTACCCAGATTGATGTGTGCGGAGTAATATCACTCAACCTTGGTTTTTTTTTTTATGAAAAAACTATTTACCCAGATTGATGTCTGCGGAGTGATATCACTCGATCCCTTGGTTATTATTAAATGACTCTTTATCCAGATTGATGTTTCCATTTATTCTTGTGACGAAAGAGAACACGAGCTAACTATAAGGAGAAAAAAACACGTATTATACCGACATACAGGCAGATTTCCAGCTCCCTATCCTCGGCCTGGATATGCTATCACGGTTGTTTAGAGTGATGATACACAGTTCAAATTGTATCTCAAAAAAACAGGCTTGACACCTGCAAATTAAGCTCTCGTATTTAAATGATAACGACTCGCATTTTTAGTATAATAACAAAACCTTCTGATTCACGCTCAGGCTTGGTTGAAATACTTTAATATATAAAGACTTCTTGACCCGAAATGTTTCCTAGTTTGAACTACATCTCAGGGTTGAATGTTTACTGGCGATTATATTCAAACATTATGTAACGAACTGACCTGTGACCTTTTGTATTTATATAAAAATGAATCAAAGATTAATGGTTTGACTTGCTACCTGTTTCACAAGTTGCTTGAGTTTGAGTCAAGCTTCGTTTCATTTCCAATGGTGTATTTTACGACCACATTACCGTAAGAAGCAACGTTTGAGTGGTCAAGCCATTGCCACAGCTAAACGATGTGTGTGTGTGAAAATCAATCTCTCGGCAGAAACATTTTGAAAATTTAATGCCATGAGACTGACTTGCGCCATTTTAATTACAAATACTGTATATATACACACACACACACAACATTATGTACAGAATTAAAAGAAGCAACCGGTTTATTGTCAAACTGGCTGGCTTGAATTCCATATTTTTTTCTACAATTTCGAAGTAACCGGAAACTTTCAACTTCTGACTTTTGACCTTTCGTTAATTTCAAATTCTTGTTTGTGGCCTCGCTAGAAACATCAGGAGATATGTACAGCTTCATGGAATTGGATTTTTGAGTTGGTGAGTTTTATTTTATAACCATGCACAGCTTCATGGAATTGGATTTTTGAGTTGGTGAGTTTTTATTTTATAACCATGTACAGCTTCATAGAATTGGATTTTTGAGTTGGTGAGTTTTTATTTTATAACCATGTACAGCTTCATGGAATTGGATTTTTGAGTTGGTGAGTTTTTATTTTATAACCATGGCCTCCACTATATAAACGAAGGCCTTTCTCCTCAGTAGTTTGGAGTGAAATAGTTCCTTACTGACTTAAACTCTTCGCTGTGCCAGTTATTCTGCCTCCAAGAATGACACTGTATGTTCCCTCCTTCCATATAAGTTGCCATCGAACTCTGCATTGTTTATCAATCTTGCTTTTACTTCTTACTTGGAAAATATTGTATACATACCTCCAACAATAAGCGACCCCTAGCAACATTGAAATGTTTAGTAATCTGGAATTTATATATATATATATAGGTGATAAACATGTCACCCCTTTTACCGATAGCACACAACTTTAATGGTACACCAATGTATTCATTGTCATGAAATGTCATTAATCGTCTGTACATAACGCTTGTCAATTTAATTATTTAGACATGCCAGATATACAGTTATACAATTTTTATGAACAGCAGAGTTTACAGGGGCAGAGAAATGTTCGTGGGAACCCCTTCTTTCAGAAGGTAAGACCAGACCAGACTTCCAGGTTCTGCCTTGTGCTAGTTCTGCCTCTGCGTGTTGTGGTATTCCCTCTTTGAAAAATATTCAAATTTGGTGTGAAACAGTTAGTTTTAAACTTTCCCAATATTTTCTTAGTTGAAATTGTTTAGGTCAGTAATAACTGTCCAATTGTTTCGAAAACATTTGTTCTACACAAATATAACAATGATAGAATATTTTTCACTACTTAAATGACATTATGTATTCAAGCGGTACTGCTATGTTTTTCTTTGATCAAACACTGTCCCTCGGTGCCTCAGCAGTAAGTTTTAGGGCTTATAACGCTAAAATTAGGGGTTCAATCCCAATGTCGGGTACAGCACAGATAGCCCATCGTGTAAAAAAGAATAATTTTGTGATAAGTGTTGTATTTGTTTGTGTGTTGTCAAGCGCAAAGCTACGGGTATCGAAACCCGGTTTTTAATGTTACAAGTTTCAGACTAGTAAATGATTCAACTAAGTTTTCAACATTTTTAAATCACATAAAACACAATATCTTAACCCTTAAATCACTGGCTTCTTTTTTAGTTCATCACCGGCTGGGGGCCCACAAATATTGAGGAGATTTGTTTTTGTCTTTTAACAACAGTGTACAAAACTGACCAAGAAATAGGTAAATCACTCGTTTGAAATGTTTAGATGAAATCCATCCGCAGTGTAAACTATCAACATTGGTACACCATTGTTATTCGATAAATGGTTGAATTCTTGCAGTATGTCCTTTATACCCATTCTTTCACCATTTTCGTGTAAGTTTACGGATTTACAACCCTAAGATCCGAGGTTCGATTCCCGCGGTGGACACAGCAAACTACCTAACGTGGCTTTGCTCTCCAACAAACAAACAAATGATTATTTTCAATACAGCGTGCTACTGTATTAAGATGTTTGATTGGTTGGTGTTTGCGTGTGCTACTGTATTAAGATGTTTGATTGGTTGGTGTTTGCGTGTACTACTGTATTAAGATGTTTGATTGGTTGGTGTTTGCGTGTGGTACTGTATTAACATGTTTGATTGGTTGGTGTTTGCGTGTGGTACTGTATTAGCATGTTTGATTGGTTGGTGTTTGCGTGTGGTACTGTATTAAGATGTTTAATTGGTTGGTGTTTGCGTGTGGTACTGTATTAACATGTTTGATTGGTTGGTGTTTGCGTGTACTACTATATTAACATGTTTGATTGGTTGGTGTTTGCGTGTACTACTGTATTAACATGTTTGATTGGTTGGTGTTTGCGTGTGCTACTGTATTAAGATGATTTTATATATATTTCTAATTTAGTATTGTATTACATTGTTAATACTATTAATGCTAAGGGCTTTCTACCATATCCACATCTGGACATGAACAATAGGTGGCAATATGACTTGGGATGATATATGTTTGACCACCTGTATTTGTCTGTTGTATGTCTGCTGTTTCGTTTGTTGTTGTTGTTGTTTAGTCAGTAATTATATGACAGGATATTCCCGGCATGTTTTGGATTATATTGCTACAGTTTCTAGTTTTCTACAACTGGCAATAATTGATTTTCGTTCTTTTCTTTCCGGAACCGCGATGATTTCGTGTTTCATTACTTGTACAAGTATATATATATATAGTCGTATGGTCTCACTGAGGGCTGCTTCTAAAGGGAGGTCTCAAACGAGACGAAGTTTAAAATGAGCTTCCTATGAAGACAACGGAATAAGGTCTCTCAGGTCAATAACGAAATGTTTTCAACTACATCAATTTGTAACGGAGAAACGAATTATGTTTCGTTGTATGCTAAATAGGTGATCATATGTTTGTTTATTTCCCTGTTTGTGTGTCATACGTGTCTTATTTTTAAGATATTGTAAATTATATTTATTGGACAATTGCCATTAAACGTTGTATGTTTGCATTGAATGCATCCGGATATAAGGTTTCTTCCATGTGTGTTTTTTTTTTCAGATTTCTTTAGAAGGATGTACATATTGATGTATTGTGTTTGCTGAAAGGTCATGACATTTTATAAAGCTCGGAATTCTTAGAAGAACAGTTGGATATAACGATTACGGGATACTGGAAGAAAAACGCCAATATTGCATAATTTGAGGAGTCTTTTTATGAGTGCTTTAGCTAAATCAATGTGAAGAATGCAGCAAAAGACGAGAGTCATGTCTAGACAAGGTCCACTACCATTGTCTAGAGTCATGTCTAGACAAGTTCCACTACCATTGTCTAGAGTCATGTCTAGACAAGTTCCACTACCATTGTCTAGAGTCATGTCTAGACAAGTTCCACTACCATTGTCCAAGTGGGATCTGCGATTCGAAACTGGACTTCTATTGCGGCTATTTGCTTTACTATGCTCAGTAATCACGGTAACCACCTTGAATAGCCAAGAAAATGAATTTCAAGGATGCGACCATTGGTTAACAGCCCCCAGTGGGGTGATCTCCACACCGAATTTTCCGAAACCTTATCCTATCCCTATCAAGTGTCAGTGGGTTATTGAAGCCCCACAAGGCAAGGGTATTGCCATATATTTCACACAGTTCTATATGAGAGAAGGCGTGCGCATCTCGGAGTATGACTATTACGATAACTCGATTACGCTCTCCAAAATGGACTCGGGCATCGTCAGTTCGGACGCAGAACCAACTCTGTATATTGGCCTCAAAAGCTTCCTGGTACTGGACTTTAACGTCGAGGAGCGAGACAATGTCCACATGCGTGTCATGGACTTCTTTCTTGATGTTTATGGATTTAATATTACGTATGAAATAATCGACAAGCAAGAGAAACGACGAAAAGATCGCTGCATTCAAAATCATTGCTCCTTCAACGGGGTGTGTCACGCGTCAATCAACTACAGAAAATACACCTGCAAGTGTTTTGAGCCTTACTACGGTGACGAGTGTGAGTATTCACCGATGTGTGGGCCCAGTTCTAATGACTCAATGTGCTCTAATGGGGGAAACTGTAGGTAAGTGTTTTAATCAGTGTACGTTAGTTTGTTATGAGGGCGTTTAGTCTTAGTAAAAACATAGATCTTGAAAACAGCAATAAATCCATAGTTCAAATGTGTAACCGTAACTTAATAACACCAGAGTTAGATTATTTTAGCAATTTGGTAAAAGTAATTGTGTTTATCGTACAAGTCTAGCTTGAATAGTGTGGTTTTGTTAAGTTGAGTTTTACTTGTTTGTTGTTTTTATGACAAAACTACAGCGTAGAGTAAAATAATGATGTTCCATGTTTGTTAACAAGCATTAAAAATGATCCCACGTCTTTGGCTCCCTGATGTTTCAGTGGTGAGTCCGAGGATTTATAACGCTAAAAATTGGGTTTTGATCCCCGCAATAGGTAGATCACAGGTAGCCCGCCGTATGGCATTGTGCTTAACGAAAACAAACCTGTATGTTTGAGTAATATAAACCGTTAAAGTAAAATTATGAAACCACGTTTATCAAAAATTGTTTGAAATACCTGTTCCAAATAATAATTGATTGAGGAAAGACATTCGCTTGTTGTGTTTGATTGTTTTGTTTTTGTTTTTTGTTTTAGAACAAAGCCACATTGGGCTAGCTACCATGTCCACTGTGGGGAGTCGAACCCTAGATTTTAGCGTTATAACTCCATAGACATACCGCTGTCCCACCGGGTTACTGCTTGTTGTGTCAACTGTCAAATAAATACTTAAAAATATCTTATAAAACATTGTTTACTTTATAAACATCATTGTAAGTTTGCACTGTTCTCGTGCCAATAAATATTCGTTTGTGTGATTTTTATCACGCGTTAGGCCTATTCGTTTCAATAATATGTCTTCTATTGTAAGACTAAAAACAAAAAAACTCCTGTCAGTTTTACTGCAGACTTTTGTATTTATTTCTGAATAATCTCAAAACTCGAATTTTGACATCAGAAGAAATAAGAAGAAACGAATAACATTCTTATCAGAATTGTAAATGCACTATAAAGGTGAAACACGTAACAGTTTAGGTTAATTTAGTCAACACTGCAAAACAATAGATGCTTCGGAACAAGACAAAGTGAAACTAAGATACAACTTACAATAACCAACTTACTGTTTGTTTGTTTTATAGCAAAGCCACATTTGGCTATCTGCTGTGTCTACCGCGGGGGGAATCGAACCCCGGATTTTAACGTTGTAAGCCCGCAGACTTACCGCTGACCCACCGGGGGACCCAATTTACTTTCATTACCGTGTTTCTTGATAGTTTTTGTCTCGTTGTTTTAATTAGAGCTACTCATTATAATGTTTCGGTGTTGACGTCAAAACCGAAGCCCTGCATGTTGCAGGATATGTTAACATAAGTTCATTCAGCCTGGCCTTTAACGTATTTATGTTGTCTAACTGAAACTACCAATAACACCAGAATTGTTTATTTTAGACTTTGCTTTTATTTCCCTTTTTTAAGCTCTTTAATGTAATTTGTTCTCTGTAAGTTGCCCTCAGCGCCCCTTTAATAGGAAGTGTATTTGTTGAACCCCTGATATCTTCATGTTACATTATACGGCTAAGTTTATAATTTTTCTTTCTCTCTTAGTTTCACTTTCATTGTCTCTTCATTAAACAATGCCCGGCATGGCCAGGTGGTTAGGGCGCTTGATTTGCAATCTGAGGGTCGCAGGTTTGAATTCCCATCCCACTAAACATGCTCGCCGTGGGGACATTTATTATGTGACGGTCAATCCCACTATTCGTTGGTTAAAATAGTAGCTTAAGTGTTGGCGGTTGGTGGTGATGACTAGTTGCCTTTCACTGCTAAGTTAGGGACGGCTGACGCAGATATCCCATGCAATCGATAAACAATGTACGTATAGAATTACTGTAAGCGTCTTAGAAGAATTTCTTAACTTCCTCGTGATTTTTCTTTTGAATTCATTATAAAATAAATAATGCAACAAATATTTGTATTTACTTTTTCATTTAAATAGCGCTTAGATTTATATTAGTTAAAGTAAATTTCTCAGGAAATGATCCTTACATATTTTTCAGCTTGAACACGTTTAAATTAGATTTTTGTCTCAGCTGTTATATATATATAAGGCAAATTAAATTAACGTTAAAATCTGTGTAATATAAGTTTTAGTTTAGTTCAAGTTTATTTGTTTTTATTATATGATGGACTGTTTTAAGCACATTTAACAAAATATTGTGTAGGATTTACGATATATTCAAACACGAAATGCGTTTGATCTTTGTCAGATCTGAAATGAATTTGAAGGGAATACAAAACACACAGTAGTTGTTGAAAACTTGTAGGAAGTAGAACAAACATTATATCACAATCTAAATGAAATTTTGCTCTATAATTCATTTCTCATAACATCCATCGAATTTGGGAAAATCTATACGGTAGAAACTCACTCTAAGGCCCGGCATGGCCAGGTGGTTAGGGCGCTCGACTCGCAATCTGAGGGTCGCGGGTTCGACTCCCCGTCACACCAAACATGCTCGTCCTTTCAGCCGTGGGGGGTTATAATGTGCGGTTAATCCCACTATTCGTTGGTAAAAGAGTAGACCAAGAGTTGGCGGTGGGTGGTGATGACTAGCTGCCTTCCCTGCTAAATTAGGGACGGCTAACGCAGATAGCCCTCGTGTAGCTTTGCGCGAAATTCATAACAAACTCACTGTAAGCTTACAGATTGGACCTTTTGCCATAAAGAAATGAATAAGTAGAAATAATTATTTAATAATCCATAACCTAGGGATACTAACAAAAAAAAACAAAACAACAACGTTGATTGTTAAGCAACTTACTTAATGCCAATGAGCAACATATTGGAACATGTTGACTGTTACGTCAAACTTATAAAATATAAATATAACTCTAAAAGATGTATCAAGCATAATTAAATCCTTAGATACCCCACCACCAGAGGGCAATAGCTGCATTGAATGCCTACAATCATTAAGACTTTTTTTTTTTTTACATTTTTTATCACATTCCTTTACATGGTTAAGTTTATCTCGCTACACGTGTACGCTGCGCGAAATGGAAATAATTTAAATTGCTTCTATCTTTGTCGAGGGGAGGAAAAAGGAAATTCCTATGTTATTGTGCTCCATTTTATGGTTTAATTTATCAAAGCAGGTTTTGAGCTTGAATTTGACACGGGGAACCATTATATATATAAATAGCATTACAAATTTTTTTTTAGGGGCTCATAAATATTGTCGAGAGTTAAATACTAGGCCCCCTATCAAAAATCTCTATTGAACCTAGGGTAGTAACATGGAAAATATGTCAAAACTTTAGCTGTTCTTTAACTCGTGACCGTGTTACAAAATCTTAAATTCTGCACGTAAATGTAACGTTTTAAAAACAGCATATTAATCTACGTCCATATAACGATCTTAAATATCGGCTGTTTGGACGAGAAGATTTCCACTGAAGCCTGCATGAAGGCGGATATATCAAGCTGGTGTGTACAACAGCTGTTACACAATGATTATATGACTGGTTTTCTTACTGTCTGGGTTTCTTTTTGTGAATCAGCTCTGTCTAATCTGTCTCACTGAATCTGACCGACTTCACAGATTGTATAGTACAAAGAGAAGGTGCATCCATACTTTTAGAGCATCATAAAATTAGTCAAGACCATCAAACCTACGTTTCGCTTTCATTAACCATACTTTAGAATCGATTTAATTAACTTTTAAACCTAAGCCTTATTTATAGCACTTCAACCATCAAACCTACGTTTCGCTTTCATTAACCATACTTTAGAATCGATTTAATTAACTTTTAAACCTAAGCCTTATTTATAGCACTTCAACCATCAAACCTACGTTTCGCTTTAATCAACCATACTTTAGAATCCATTTAATTAACTTTTAAACCTAAGCCTTATTTATAGCACTTCAACCATCAAACCTACGTTTCGCTTTAATCAACCATGCTTTAGAATCGATTTAATTAACTTTTAAACCTAAGCCTTATTTATAGCACTTCAACCATCAAACCTACGATTCGCTTTAATCAACCATACTTTAGAATCGATTTAATTAACTTTTAAACCTAAGCCTTATTTATAGCACTTCAACCAGCGTATCATGATATTCATTGACTTAGTCTTCTACTAATCCATAAATCACAGCATGATTATCGTGTATCCTTAAGCTTGTTAGTGTTATTTACTTTCTTGTACAATAAATTTTCAACATGCGCATCAGTGCTGACACCTAGTGATTTTGATTGCCTGACAGTTGGGCTTAAGCGGAATTATGTCATCATTGGTGACTTTTTGTTGTGTATCTAGAAATTATATGTATCATACTTTTATTATAATTCACATTATTGTATGAATTACAACTTTGATAAAAAAAATTAACTTCGACTTAAACCTATATAATTCGGTCTCTAACACTACTAATAGATCAATGTTTTTTTTGGTTTTTTGTTATTAAAATCTAATCTGTTATAATATATATTTTGTAATTATTTAGGCTAAGCCTAAATCTTGTGTCACACCAGTTTTTCATATGTATTTAAATGAAGTTGTTCTCATTGAGTATTTTTAGCCGCGGCATAACGGCTCATAGAATGGCTCTGAGTTTTTCAAGTACAAACTTTTAGCTCATAGCTCCGTCATCTCTTGGCCGATATGAGATCTAATTACAGTTTTGGACTCAGGAGGTCAAACCTTTTCGGTTGATCTATTTAACCACGCCTAAGGTCTCGTAGATTAATTTACTCTAGCCTTGTCTAAAAGGTTGGTAACGATCCTGATGAGTAATAAAATAGAATCGGATATACGCGCGCCCAACGTTTGGTATTGCTAGCACACAAAAATATAGCTAATAAAAAGGGGAAAAAAAGTATCAATTTAGTCTAATTCTGCCTAAAAGAATTTCAAGTGCCGCGGCTATTGAGGCTTCCCTCTTGTTAATAGTTATTTTGTGTCCATACCATCTGATAGTTATTGAATGGGGTGCATCAAGGTGTTCGACTATGTATACACAATGCCCCCACTGACTCATCGGTAAGTCTGCAGGCTTACGACGTTAAAGTTCGGATTTCGATGACCGTGGTGGGCAGAGCACCGACAGCCCACTGTGCAGCTATCTGTCTGACCACTCGCTGGGGTCCATTTACAAATTATTTTGAATTGACGCTTGTGTGTGAATAAAAACGAGACTGGGCGACTGACGTCTTGAATACTTCGTTCACAATGGGCTATCTGTGCTATGCCCACCACGGGTATCGAAACACGGGTTCTAGCGTTGTAAGTCTGCAGACATACCGCTGTGCCACTAGGGGGCAGTAAGCATGGTAGAAAACTGTTAATTCTCTTGACAGGGAGAAGTGACGTGAAACAAAAATTCAGCGGCATATTTGTAATTTTTCAAACTCTCCAGAACTACGCATGCGCCAAGACAAATGTTTCGGGTGGGAGGACTATTTGATGGATATAGTCGTAATAATCTTATGATTTATTTATTTACTTTTTTGAGCGAGAATAAATAAAGGTTTCAAACAAGCACCTTTTAATTTATTTGTATTTTATTTCTTGTCAACTCCCCCGCTCCCCCGGTGGCTCAGAAGCAAGCTTAAGGGTTTATAACTCTAAAGTTCAAAGTTCGATCTCTGCCGGAGCCGGAACGCAGTCAGCCCATCAAGCAGCTTTGTTACCTAAAACACTCTTTAGGTCTAATGAGAATTCGTGGTTTTAGTCAAGCAGACATCACAGTGAAATTCTAAGATCCTTGAATCAACAGCAAAAAATAATATGTTATAACATCCATTGCCGACTAGGCCTTTCGTACAGTTCCAGGGCTCACCAGGCCAGCCGGGTACGGTAGACACAGTAGTGGGCTAGGGGCTAGTTATATCGTCAAAATAAGGTATAGAGAGTTTTAAAACTTTTTACACACTGCTAAGAAAAACTGACTGTTAAAATTGTTTGTTTGCTGTATCTTTTAAAGTATACTCTTAACTTTTATGGAATAGAGAACGAATTTATGTTCTTGTTTTATTCTAAAATAAAAAGGTGAAATGTCTGAAAAAAAATGAGTACTTGTTGATATTTATAGACTTATTTCATATTAGAAAATCTCAAAACAATTCTGACTTTAGAGATGAAGTCATTGGAATATAATGAAATTTTGTGGAATCCTAAAATTGTGCCAAGAACTCATCTGCCCCCCGCCCCTCCCCGCGCTTGTATGAACGCGCCTTTTTTATTCATATCATATTCAGTATTTTCAGACATTTTGAAAAGTTAATACTGAAAAATCGACTCAACCCATATCATAACCCTTGCCCAGTGGTTGCCCCCCCCCCCGGTGGGACAGCGATAAGTCTTCGGATTTGCTATGCTGAAATCAGGGATTTGATTACCCTCGGTGGACACATCATAGAGCCCGATGTTGCTTTGCTATAAGAAAACACACTTTCATGGCATGGCCTGGTGGTTAGGGCACTTGACTCGCAATCTGAGAATCGCAGGTTCGAATCCCTCTCCCGAAAATATTCGCACTTTCAGCCATGGAGACGTTGTAATGTGACAATCCCACTATTCCTTGATAAAGAATGGTCCAAGAATTGGTGATGGGTTGTGTTGACTAGCTGCCATTCCTCTAGCCCTCGAGTAGCTTTGCGTGAAATTCAAAACAAACAAACAAACTTAGCGTGACAAATATTGGAATCAGGTTATCAGTTTGGAATTAAAGATGGCCGTACGAATGACAAGAAAAGGAAAACATTTTATGCATATGAACTCATTTATTTTTCAAATGTGTTCGTTTAACACATATATTTTGGAAGACAAGTGAAGTTTCATTAAATATCCATCGTTCATATTTTGATAAACACACTTCCTCTCATTCATTCACGGTTAGGCCTTGGTGCTACTTTTACAGCAGGGTTTTAGAATACCTATCTTCCAAAAATTGAGAATTCACAATCTTATTCAACTCAGCAAGGTAAGATTATTATGTTATAAGCTATAGCAACAAGTCTTACAATTTCAGAGATGTAAGCCTTCTAATAACTGATATATTATTAATACTAGTTTTTGCTTTAGGCATTACATCGGCTCAAGAGCTCGTAAGTGTGAATGTCCCAAAGGTTACTTTGGGGTCCTTTGTGAAAGAAAAAAACATTCGGCAGATAATAACAATAAAGGTAGGTAAAAAAAACTATTTTTCTTCAGGTGTAATATAAACTGGGTGGCCAATTTATTAGAAATTATATCTAATAACTGGTTGGGCCACCTTCAATCCAAAGAACAGTCATGATACGATGTGGTATATAGTCCACAAGGTGCTGGAATATGTCCTGAGGGTTCTTCTCCATTCAGTCATTGATACTGTACGTAATTAATAAGATGAGGTAGGCAGGTAATATAGTACAAATTCTCAATAAAATTGACATCGGGGTATTTTGGTGGCCGTGTGAAGAGCCTGAAGTCATCGACGTGATACTCAAACCATGCATGCGCAGGTGGGGCATGGAGGATGGAAGTATTGACATCTTGGAAATAGCCGTCCTCATGAAGCATCAGAACTGATATGTCAGAAAAATGTGTCCATAAACAGAGGACTGAACAGTTGGGAACACACACGAGAGTTCGGTTATTCATGTGTTCTATTTTTCCAAATCTCTCTCCCTTTCCCCTCCCCATGCAAAAAAAAAAAAAATAATAAAATGGTAAATCGTGATTATCTGGACCATGCTACCTCTCATCAGCCCTTATCAGTCCATTGTCTGCGCTCTTTACACCCCATAAGGCGTTATTTTTTCTTGTTGGGAACTGAGTCCAGTGTTTTCCTACTACCATAGCCCATTTGTTGCAAAGCTCTTCGCAAGGTACGACTGGAGCTTAGTGTGAGTTATTCTGTACCAAATTTTTGTCAGTAGGTATATTGTTTGATGATCACCCTGTTTAATCTCCTTTCTCCTTGTTCTGTCAGTACAACTATGTGGCCACAATTTCTCCTCACAGCAAATATTTTATCAACTTTCTCCATTGTTGGTAAACTCAAATGACCGATGTCTTGGAGCAACCTAAATGAAATTGTCTTGGTCACTGTGGTACCTGTTAAACGCGCACTCACTATCATGCCCCCTTTTGAACGCTCTAATATATTTCCTCTCTATATATCTGGTAGACTGACACAAATATGCTTATTCCAGTAATTTTTCAGTGCTTCATAAATCACTTGAAACATCATTTGATCAACCTAATGTGCATCTGGAACTCAGGTCAGGCCAACTCTGAAAGGGGGCATAATTCCTAATGAAGTGGCCAGCTAGTGTATATAATAGAAATAAGTTTTTTTAATATTTTGTGTATATATATTTGTGTGTGTGTAGAATAATAGAAAAAAAAAGGAGTATTAATAAGAATTGATGTTGCCAGGTCCGCATAATTATTCATTATAACCTATTAGATAATATTTAATCCTGATATTTCCGACTTTTTTTACATACCGTTTACAAACGATGAGATCCACATATTGGATCATGTTGAGTTTGCGTTTCATCCTTTCTTAACATTCTATATATAGAAATAACCAAATAAATTTGATAAAAGCATTCGATTTCTATGGAAAATATCTAGAAACCCCCAACAATAATGAGTGGATATTATTTCTAATATTCGCGATCTTTTTGTAATTTTTTTCTTGTGACTCATACGTTGTTAATCAAATCGTGGACCCACGTGCAGTTTGGTGCGTAAATAGTTTAGAAAAATGTGTTTAAAAATAATATGAACTTCACCGGTAATTTTAGGGTTAAAAAAATCGAAGTGTGTTTAAGTGGAATTTTAGTTATTACTGTTTGCCATTGTAGTTATTCAAAACAAAATTAAGGTTAATAAACTTTCGTTTTGTTAGTATTAATAATGAAATTAGTCTTGTAAATCAGTAATGCAACATGTTTAGTTTCCAATTCTTCCTGCAATAATAAAATTAAAATTGTTATACTTAGGCCTAAAATTACGTGAATGTCAAGAAATTGGATGTTCTTATTCGTGCAAGAAGACTCCCAGCGGCACTTACGTCTGCACTTGTCCTCCAGAACATCGTTTGGAATATGATTTTAAATCCTGTGTCAAAAAAGGTAATTTGTAATTTTTTTTATTAGAACTTGAAAGAAATGCCTTTTTTTAAAAGTGTATTCTTAAACATAACCTGTTTTTAAACTTTGTATTATAGGTTTTGTTCGAGAGTGATTAGGCCATTGGAAACGAGCCCAGTATTGAACACTGCCTTAGTCTTAAAGTTAATTACATCCTTAAGATACCAACACATGCTTCTAGGATGTAAGGAAGCTTTGTTCCCATTCTTTCATGTGTTATTTTGAAACTCCCCTTGTCTGCTGGACTTTAATTCTCAGTATACGGTCTAACATCTCGAAGGCATATTTTGGCCTGGTGGTTTGCTCGTGCAATGTACAATCAGAGAGTCCCGAAACCATATCTTGGCCTGTTAGTCTTTTCATGAAATGTGTAACCCTAGAGTCCCGAAATCATATCTTGGCCTGTTAGTTTGCTCATGCTTTGTGTAATGAGACGGGCCTGAAAACAAATCCTGATCTGTTTGTTTGCACGTGTAATGTATAATTGAAGGGCCCTAAAGTCAAAACTAGAATTTATAATTTGCCCGTGTAATCTGAGTGTCCTGAAACCAAATCTTGACCTTGTGGTGTTTCTGTGTAATGTTGAATGGGAGTGTCCTGAAACCAAATCTTGACCTAGTGGTGTGCTTGTGTAATGTGTAATCTGAGTGTCCTGAAACCAAATATTCACCTAGTGGTGTTCCTGTGTAACGTGTAATCTGAGTATCCTGAAACCAAATATTCACCTAGTAAAGGCGCTGTCTTTACGGCTTACTCACTTGTAATTTTGCATTTTTTTGTGTTGAATATACATTTGTAACGTAGTATCTAGACTCATTCTTTCTCACAACTCAATCAAAATCAAGAGAATTCATTTTAACTCTGCAGTAAATTTTCTTCTCGAATTTGTTATTTGCAGGTTCGAATTAATCTATCAAGTAAAACAGTTTATTATAGAAGTGTTATCAAATATGATGAGAATATATTGATGGCATGTAATTTTTTTTATTCTTTTTATGTGAGTTTTATGTTATCAAGGACCTTGTAACCAACAAAGTCATGAGCCTCAAACAGTTTAGTGAATAAATAGTATAGCAAAAAGCAATGTATTTCAGGACTCCATCGGTAAATCTAGGGTTAACTCTAGCCTCGGCTATTCTGTAAGGATATCCGTATGCAATGATAATCATTTTGTGTTAAAGACGATTGAAAATATCCGAAGTCATATATATCTTCTATAAATTAAGTTCAAAAACCTCAGAATGGCTTTAGTAAAATAACAATATTTATGTATAAACTACGTCTATGTGTGTATATTCACGACACATCACCTTTATAAGGTTTGAAAAGTATACAACCCTACCATCCCCAACAAAATCGGCATATTTCAACAGTTATCATTACAGCTTGTTTTATGTGTGTATTTTTCTTACATTGTTGATCAAGTTTTTACACATGAAATTTTACTTATCTCAGTATCGCTTTATTTATTTCCAGAAAAGATCAGATACGTTATTAGCTTCAAGTTACTATCGTTAGAAAGTGATATATCCAGCCCTAATCTTGAGCTACTAAGTGCAGTCAAAGCAGGTGAAGTAAAATTACGTTTACAAAATGCGGTAAGCAGAGATTATTGTTGAAATTAGTTGTGTCACTAGTCTTAAGGCCTCTTTTTTTAAACATAATTGTTAACACGTAACCTGATGAAACAAAATATTTTAATACGTAATTTTAGTTATTTAAACTTCTTATCAATATTTATTTAAAATTATATATTTTGATTATTTTCATGTTTAAACTATTGTATCTCTGAAATTATAAAGTGTTAATTATACTATTAGTACTATAAATAACGTTTGCTAAAATTCTGTTCGTGTCACAAGTATTTTAAATTTACGCTTCAAACGCCGAAAGCTGACGAAATATAACCCTAAAAAATTGTTATAAAAACAAGTTAACTTGACGGGTTTTTTTTCGTTTTTTTTTATACAACTGTTTTCTTACCGAAATGGAGAAATTAAGATGAATGTGTGTATGTGGGGATAGGAATCTGCAGTTGACTTTTTTATATAATAAACACAAGTATTTGTTTATTCATGTATTCAACTACTTAACAACCCCCCAAGCTTGGCCTAGTGGTTAACGTGCTCTGCCACACATCGTAAGGACCAAATTCCGACTTGCAGAGCATTCTCTGCACTTTGAGCTGAGACAGCAATATAACCATGACATTCAATCCTGCTATCCGGGAGTAACCATATAGGCACAAGACGCTGTTGACTGACTGGTTGTTCACCCTTTGATCAGCAGTTCTAAATTAGGATTCGCAATACCTTAGGATATCTGACGTGCCTGTTTAGCCTGTGTGTGTCTAGGGTGTCATACAGGTTGGAAACGCTATATCCTCGTTTAAACTAGCCTTTACCAGCAATATAGTTATCTTTTATGTAAACAAGCCAGATTTTGAACATTCATAATTTTTACACGTTTGGTTGTAAAAGTTGACATATTTTATAAGAATAGCTTGATACAGCGCCATCTTCTGATATGCAGGGAAATTGTTACGTTATAAGTATTTATTTTTCACAGTAGTAGGAGGTAGGACGTTAACCATCAGGCAATATGTTCTGATTTTCCATAATGAACGTATAATTCTCGAAGCTCAGCTTTTAGATAATTTCGTTATGTTGTCATTGTTGAAAGTTTCTGTTGATATTAAAAGAAAGTGTCAGAAGAAATATTTAGGTGTATCATATTAATTAGATACATTAGGTTGAACCAAAGAACCAGTAGAAAATTCTAAGTTAATGAAAATGAAATCGTATATATATTTATTTATGAACTACTTTGCACTAAAACACAAAAGGAAAATAGCCTCACAATTAAATTTTTAAACTGGAAGGTTTTTACAATGTAAATTATATGATCAAAGAATTTAAGTAATAAAGTACGAGATACAAGGTATTCTAAGTTTTCGGGCTGAGCGTGGTTTATTGGTTACCTTGTGAACTGAATATTATTATTAGGTTTAGTGGTACGCGGCCCGTTGCAGCAAAATTATTCTCAATTTCAGACTGTGGGTGCATTATAAGAATGAAGGTGAAATCACACCTTTGGATTAGAGTATCCCAACAGTTGGCGATGGGTGTTGTTGACTAGCTGCCTTCCCTCTAGACTAGCATTTCAAAATTAAGGACAATTAGCACAGAGAACCCCTTCGTAGCTTTGTGTGTTAATAAGAACAAAGAAACAAAATTAAAGTAACGTTGATGTCTTTTTCTGCTACTTTGTTGTGCGAGTGTTATTTCACTAAAGATTTTTTTTGTTTAGTGAAGTTAGTAAACATATTTTGAAAGTTGTAATTATTCTTAAAATTCAGTAGTTTCTTGGCTTTTTGTTTCAGCTTTTATCCTTACTTCAGTCAAATCTTTCCAAGGTTGAGAATTTAACAGTTTTAGAATTCAAGTAAGCAGCCTTTTGTACTATATTTGTAGTAAATAAGAGAACTGAAAACAAGATGAGTGTGAAAAAAATTATATCTTGCTATTTATTAAGAGTATTTTTGAATTCTTTGTAGGTCATGAAATAAAGTTATAGTTTTCACCTGATGCACAGATAATATAACATTTAGAAATACTAAAAGTTTGTTATACTACATAAAGTAAAAGCATGTTATACAACAACACAAATAAAAGTTAGTGTATGATTAAGATGAGTTTTGATAACAGAGTCAATTATTTGTTAATATCCGCCATTTAAACCACTTTGAATGAATGAAATATGACAACCCAAATGTCGACCATGCTTTATCAAGAATACAAAGTGCTATAAATCTTAATACTGATAACACTGAATTTTTTTTTTGTATACATATATTAGCAATTCCCTAAACAATGAAGGAGAATGTAAGCAAAACATTGTTATTTGATCAAAATGTTAAATATTTTACCTTTACTTAATAACACAGTTCCTGAAAAATAAGGAGAGGATCGACACTGTTATTCATTATTCAAACAAACGGTGTCTTTGTTTTAAGTTTTAGATACTGTTTGTCACCAAATTTTCAGAAATAATATATTAAATAATATCTGAATGGCTATTATTCAGATATTAATACTGTTAAAGTTGCAAAATCATAGGAAGTTTTTGTTTTAAATAAGTGTTTTGTTTTTACAAAGGAATGATTATGTAACTTTTGTTCAAGCTTTGTTGACATTAAGAAAGAGAATATATATATTTTTAAAAGGTTTGGTAAATTTCTAGATAAAGTGAGAGACATTATTAAGATAATTTTTAAAGTAGACAAGTGTGGTAAAATTGCTTTCAGTTTCGAAGTTTTTGTAATTTTGAATTAACAAAATTGTGGTCGAGAGAATATAAAGATGCAGTGATTGGAGAGTAATAAATTAATTTTAATACTTAGAGTTTAATATTTCATGAATGTACACATTTTTCTTTTGTGTTCAGAAGGAAGAATAACAATTTCAATTTCAGACATGGACCTGTAGTTCAGTTTCACTTCTTTGGTGAGAAAGATGAGAGTCAGAAAGTGAAAACACTTATGGATAAAACTGTCAGAAATGGCCAGATAAATAGATATAAACTTGAGAAAAATTATTTTCGTTTTGAAATGGAACCTTGTAAGTATTTCAGCTAAGCTCTAAGCACACAGTACTTATAATTCCATATGTTGCTTTAAAGATACCAGACTAATTTATATTTTTGTAGGTAATGTAAAATTAATCCAAGAGTAATATTTTTTTTAAAGTAAAACTTCTTATGGAATTTAGTGTTGCCTTATTTATCGTCAATTGTTGAAAATTCAATTGTCGTGTGGAAAGAGATTTTACAGAAAAATGTATGTTTGATTCTTAGCATTAAAGCTCAATAAATGTGCAATAAGCAAATCAAAGAATATATTACATATGTACATCATCTTTTCTTTGGTGGAATTCATGTTTTGGTGAGGAAAAGAAACTTGTGAATATGGGCTTTGTTGAGTGATTGCAATAAATTTTAATAAGTAAGATTAGTTACTGTAAAAGTGCCAATTTTCAATTATTGATTTAAAAAAAAAAATGCAATTGTATGTACATATATATCAAGCACAAAAAACATCTATGTGTCTATCTGTTTGTCCATTATCTAAATTAACTACTTCTTGGTCGCCGGGTCAATCTCAACCAAAGTTTATTGGAAGATAATTTGGTAAAAGGGTCATGCTAATGGGGGGGGGGGGGTCACAACCTTATCCATCCCCATTGTTGCTGTTACTAAGCAGTTCTTATGTTTGATGGAAGTTAACGTTATATACGCTCATGGGTGGTGCTACATCCTTACACCAAAAAAAAACTTTATTCAATTTCCAATACCACAATATACACACAGTTTGGGGGAGGGCACATGAACGTCTTATATGTCTTAGGTAGTGCATTTGCACTCTCTATGGAAGGATGCATTGAAAAACATGGCTGCATCTATTGCCATAATACATTAACTCGGCTGAAATTTGTACTCCAACAGCCATAATAAGGTTGATATGAAGAGCCATTTCTTGAATTTTACCCACTTAATACCTTGACCCATGATCTTTCGACTTCAGCCCATAAAACACTTCTGTGGCTATTGACTGTCAATTAATTAATCACGTGAAACAATGTGTATGGACATTAAGGGCTGATTGTTGAAAGCGGGTGACAGGAAGCGCACCTACCACCACTACTTTGGCTGCTACCTCTTCCAACCCTGACTATCGCACAGTGTATACCATGGTTTAAATATATACATATTGAGTTTTTAAAGCTTATACAAATCTTTTGGTGAGGTAATAATGAATACTGTAATAATATGTTATGTTATAGATAAATTGTATGAAAGTTAAGATTTTTGTGTTATTTATCATAGCATCCACCCACACATTTTTTTAGTTCATAACTCACATAAAGGATGGGTACCTCAGCTTGTCTATATGTACATTGTGTGTGTGTGTGTACAGAGAGAAAGAAAGATTAAAGTACGCCCTCAGTTAGTGGTAGTTTTTCAGTTTCTAGTTTTTATGCTATTTTTTGTTAGATACTATTTTTCATAGTCGGTTTCTAATTTTCAGCACTCAATATCCAAATTCTGAAGACTTCGGAGAAGTTACCGATCACTGTAGGTAGCCAGTTGACACTCGAATGTATAATTACTGGGTCAAGCAGGATGAAAGTAACTTGGTTTAAGGATGGCTTTCCTGTAAACAAAAACACTTCTCACCAGAGAATGTGGACAGTGGTGGTACCAAAAAATTCACAAGACCAGTTTACACATTTACTAGGTTTTGACAGAATTGATGCACTGGACACAGGTAACATACATTTGCATCGAACTGTAAAATTTATTAGAATTAACTTTAAAACGACTGTATAATTTAGGATTGTTTTTTTAACTAGTCCCTTGATGGATCGTCATGCTCTATATTTATCACAGTTTATGAATATAAATATGGACAAGTAACATTAGACAGCAAAGTGTCATAAACCATCTTAGTGTTGATTAAAAATGATTGTAAGCATAAGGGTCATAACAGCCAAGTACTTGCCAATAATGTAAATATGTTGTATATGTCTTCCAACTGCTGCAGGCTACTGCTGATAAGTCGTTTCACTGCCAGAGCTCAGTACAAATATTAAAGATGGCATAGCTTCATGTGTTGTTAGAAATTAGTCTTCAAAGTTGGCTCCTTCGGTTAACTAGGCCTTAGCTGTTTATTAGTTGGTGCCGACATTAAAAAGTGTCATCTAGTAACATACAGGAACTTAAATCTTGTTTCAGATGTAACCGGTTTTTTACAAATTATGTTAAACATCTAACAATGAGCTTTGTCAATATTAGCATTTCTGTACTCAAGTCAGGGTAAGTGTTGGTGCCAGTTAGGTAACTTGATATGCTCGAGTACTTAACTGTGATGTCTATTATGAATTATTAGATAGGTAGTGTGGTTGTTTAACTTCATGTAAAGAAATATAATATAGATACGACACTGAACAAGAAACAGAACTGATGTCTGATACACTTCTTACCGAGTCCTTCATGGTTTTGATTAAATTGCAAGCAAAATATACATCTCTTGTGTTTTTCATGTTTAACAACATTGTACTTCTAAGATAAAAATAACAATGGAAAACACTTAAAACTTCTTGTAGTTATTTTTGACTGAAAAATTTGGAAAAAAAAGGAAATAACAGATAACTTAAAATAAGATTGCTAATTGTTTTTAGGGGAATTTCTAGAACAGAATATCTTGATAGATTCTCAAGAAGCAAGATTCTAATTCTGTATCAGTTTTAATGCAGTACTTCTCCTGCGTGGGACATCACTCCAACCAGTCTGGTGACTGAGGGTATTTTAAATACTTACGCTGCAGACTTTTCTACTTCTTATATTACACTATGCTAAGCTGGTATTCAAGAGATGTGGTTTAGTGTTGTAGTTGTTGTATACACACCACTGCCTTAAAAACGTATCATGTTGATATGAGTCATCACATTTTAAGCAATTGACAGCTGAGTGATAGCAGTAACATTTTTACGAATTTCAGCTATGTGGATGTGTGGTTTGATGCGTTTTCGATTTGTTCTAGAAGAAAGAAGACCATATTGCATTGAAATCCATACTTTGGTTGTGGTTCATAGAAGGCTTATGGACTTTTGATATAAAAGGCTTCCATAAGTTTCCTGGTTTTCCATTGAAAACATCATTGCAAAAACTTCAAAGGCAGATACAGTCCCCAAAATTCTCCATACTAATACGTTTTAAAGTTTTTGTATGTTTTACATTTGTTATACTGTAGGATACATTTCACTTAGCAAGAAAATTGCCCATCATAAAAATAATTATACAGAACAGTTGTATGCCAGTTGGGTAGTAGATTACTGTATCTGTAAACTGATTGGGTTGATCCAAAAACACAAAACTAAAATGAATATGCATATCCAATAAACGCATAGGTGTCATAGAATAAGTAATTTTCACAATGTTTTATTTGTATAGTACAAAATTAAATAAAGTTTGATTTTGTTATGTATCATGGAAATTAAAACATATTATATCAATCCATTCATTTAGTCTTTTGTTTGTTTCTTTAACAGGAGTGTTTACTTGTGAAGTTATGGACTGGGGCATGATCAAAAGGAAAAGTATACAGATATATGTTAAAGCACCACCACAACCCAAACTTACACCTTTAACTGCAACTGTACAGGAAGGAGATAGGATGGAATTACACTGCCTTTTGCAGGAAGATGCATCTGAGAAGTTTGGCTACACCTGGCTAAAGAATGGTGAGATTTTAAATCCATCGAAAGAACCAGAGTTTGTAGAAGATCTGTTTCGAACAGGTAGTCGCATGGTTATTGAATCGATGAAGTATTCTGCTACATATACGTGTATAGTAACAAGCACAGCAGGAAGAACAAGTAAGGACAGTGTTATTACTGTCTTGAAACCAAATCGTAAGTACCGATATCTTGCAAATAGCCCTTGTGATTTTTGTATTGTACATTGAAAACTACATTAAAATCCTGATTCCGTAAAATGTTGACTACTTACTGCATGGTTGGGGGAGAATATTATTTTATTTGTTTGTTTGCTGGACTTTGGTAATAGTGATATGTGTAAGATAGTGCAAAAAATATTGATTATAAAGCAACTTAGTCGAGGTGAAAGCTTTATCAACCATAAATAGTCAAGAAAACATGAATGCTGAAAAGTAGCTAGGGTAGGATATACGACAAGTATCCACACTACAAAATTTTTCTCCTCGTAACATCACATTTGATTGAGTGTTCTTCCGTGTGTTTAACCTATTTTAGCTCATGATGAAAAGTGATAAACATTCTCATCAGGTGATTAATGGTACACATTTGTTTACATTGTGAGAGCTAATATATCTTGTTAATATGATAAAAAAACATAGTTACTACTTTTTCATTCATCTGTCACTAACTTATGTATTATTCCACATTCAGAATACATTCCAGTCTGCCCAGAAGAACAGTTGAATGGTTTAATATGGAACCTAACAGTTTCAAATTCACAGTTTATACATCATTGTCCAAAAGGTTTCAAAGGTTAGTTAAGTTAGTTTTGACATATGCTTATAATGTACAGGGTTTGGCACAAGCTGATATACCATAACGATCTTTTATATATATATATGTGTATAAATAGGAATATTATTTATAGTTATAAATATATATATCACTTTGTACTTATGTAGTTGTCCTGATCATTACTGGAATTGTTGAGACATTTGCAGACATATCCAGAGGGACACTCAGTAGAGCGTATCCCTCTGCCGCGCAGCATGATCATATTCGGCCCTCAAGAAATACGAAAATGTGTCTGTATGTCTGTCATTATCATAGACTATTTTTTTATATTCTACATATATCGATAAAGTTTCATTAAAATCTGATCATTTGTGACTGAACCATAGAGCAAAAATAGTGTGAAAAATTGTCATTTGTGGCTAAACCATAGAGCAAAAATAGTGTGAAAAATTGTCATTTGTGAATGAACCATAGAGCAAAAATAGTGTGAAAATCTGATCATTTGTGACTGAACCATAGAGCAAAAATAGTGTGAAAAATTGTCATTTGTGGCTGAACCATAGAGCAAAAATAGTGTGAAAAATTGTCATTTGTGACTGAACCATAGAGCAAAAATAGTGTGAAAATTGTCATTTGTGACTGAACCATAGAGCAAAAATAGTGTGAAAAATTGTCATTTGTGACTGAACCACAGAGCAAAAAATAGTGTGAAAAATCTGATCATTTGTGACTGAACCATAGAGCAAAAATAGTGTGAAAAATTGTCATTTGTGACTGAACCATAGAGCAAAAATAGTGTGAAAAATTGTCATTTGTGACTGAACCATAGAGCAAAAATAGTGTGAAAAATTGTCATTTGTGACTGAACTATAGAGCAAAAATAGTGTGAAAATTTTTTATTTGTGACTGAACCATAGAGCAAAAATAGTGTGAAAATCTGATCATTTGTGACTGAACCATAGAGCAAAAATAGTGTGAAAAATTGGTCCCCATGTTAACATATAGGGATTTTTGTGACCTTACTGTAACTTTGACCCTCCAAAAACTAATCATTTCTAAGTTGGGTCATAGTTAAAATGTATACCAATTTTTGTCCAAATCCAATTAGCCATTTTTGAGAAATCTTGTTGACAAACACACAAACAAGCACATGCACACAGGGGTGAAATCATAACCTCTGTGGTGGAGGTAATTATTACACTTCTTAGTATATCACTTCGTATTAATGATGAAACATCCATACCTACTGCATTTAAAAACAATAAGATTTTCCTTGCTTTGCGTTTTTTATAAGCAACTTTATTATAATTTACTCTGGATGAGCTAATGTTAATGTCACCATATTCTTTTATAACTGTATTCTGGTGATTATGTTTAGCATAGCTCAGACATCTGGTTTTTAAACTAACATGTAAGCAAAAAATTGTTAGTTTATAATAATATACTTGGGATATTTTTTAGCAATAAACTGGATAGAATTATTATTTAGTTTTAATAATTTAGGATTTTATGTTTTCATTGTATCATGAAAAAAAAATTTTAATTTTTTTTTTACATAACTAAATTATTACTTAAAAAGCAAGAACTGTTATTTACTATACAGACAATTGTGAACCAGAAGTTAGGTAATGTGTTCTGATAAAGACGGTTACATTACATGGCTGACAATGGATATATTTTTATGCAGTTGGTGCAAGGTTAGTCTTCAAGTTTATGAAAAGATTTAAACATTTGTTAGTTTTGTTTAAATTGATGACCTAACATTATCCTTTGTATACAATATTTAAAACAATATTTACATAAATCACTAAGCAGGTATTCAGAAGCTGATTACTTGGTAGTAAGTATGGTATATTGATATTTAAATAATGAATGCTTGACCCTTTTTTCCACCTGTTTACTAATTAACATAATCGGAGAATATCTTATTTTATTTTCCCATATTTTTACGAATATTTCCTGTGTATTTCCTCAAGCTATATATATTAACAAATGTTTTTGTTTTTAACTAGGAATTGCAACTCGATATTGTACCTCAAGGCAAAACACAGCAGAATGGGAAGACCCTGATTTTTCTGGTTGTTTATCAAGTCTGTTTATTGAGATGAAAAATAAGGTAAGATTCACCTAGCTTACAACTTCCTGAAACATTGAAAATTCTTAAAAACAATGAACAGATTGTTTAATTGGAAGTTACAATGTGTATAAATTAAAAAAAATCTTTCAGCTTATTCGCTGAAAAAGTTTCCGAAAGTGATAATTTAGTATCTATTTTATTTGATAAAATTCCATGAATATCTTTAATAATCTGTAATATTTTATTGTTCTGCTATTTTTTCATAAGGACTTCAAATATTTTGAACAAAAATGGTGTTATTTTGTGTATTTGTTACTTATGATTATACCTAGATTATAACCTTGCAATTGTACTAAAAAATGTTAAAATCTCGTCACAAATAAACAGAAATACAAGCAGTTATGTAACTGTAAGTTTAGTTGTCCTGTGCATTCTCTCTGTGCTGGTAATCTTTACAGGGTTGGTATGCTGTTACCTTTTTTGTTTAAATGTCTGTTTTTTTTTAATTAAGGCTTAATAAGGTCGAGTTATTGCTTTTTGTTTGCATAGCAAGTTATAAATGTGGATATGATAAAGCTAAAACTGAATTTTATGTTTAATTCCAGCAGTCATTTATTCTAGTTCAGTTTCATGTATTTTTGATAATTTCAAGTAAATTTAATCAATAACTTTAAGCTATTTTGTTGCCCTAGAGCAATTTTCCATTTTCTCAGGAAAAACAAATACTGATTTGGTGAAATGAATAATTAAAAATGTCATTAAGCTGCATGAAAATTAATGCAATGTGTTGTTGTTTTTTTATTCTCAGTTTAGAACTTTAGAAATAGGTTATGTCCAGAACAACCTTTCATCTATTCTAACTGAATTAAAACAGTACTTACTAAGCAGAGCTGGAAGTATGTATTCAGGAGAAGGTGAGCCTGTGATTGATCTTCTCTCCGATATTCATGTATTTCTCCAAAAACAGTTGAATTACGATTCTCATGGTGAAGATAGCCTAGAGGTGAGTTGTTTGATTGAACGATAAAACTTCAGGCAAATGTGAACCACAAGTTAAAAAACATAATTATATCATTTAAATATTTGCCAGACAGACAGCTTGTTAGGATTTTTGTGATCTTTCTCTTGTCTGTTAATTTCCTTTGCACAATTGACACGTAAATTCTTTTACAGACTTTCTTACATTCTTCTCCTACATTCTGTGAATTTTTTTTAAAACAGTAACTGAGAAAAGTCTTTTAAATCTAAGAGAATTATTTCGGCAGAATTTAATACTTTCTATTCTATTAATGATCTAAAATCATATTTTTTTAAATTTGCTTCTAAAAAAAAGTGGTATAGATTAAAGAAATGTACCATTCATAAGTTAAGTCCAAGTAATTCATACAAACTCGTGTTCTTTGGACTATCTTTTATTTACTCACCTTATTTAATTTGAAGAAACCAGTTTAATAAACTATCATTTTAATTCCAATTAATATTCATTTAGTTTTAAATAATTTCACATTTTGTAATCAAATAATTGTAAATTTAAGTGATTTTCCATATATCTTAGTAATTTTGGTAAATACTTCCAAATACAGATTAAGAAATAAACTAGCTAGCTAGCTCAAAAAATATGCACTAATATGATATATTGAAGCTTAAAGAACAAGTCAATTCATGTGAAAACTAACTGTGAAACATTTTAACTTTAAACGTTTTGGAAGTGGTTTTATGGATTTGTTTTCTGGCCTCATCTTCTCTTTGTAATGTGATGTTTCAAGCTTCGATCTTAGTTGTAAAAAGCAGAATAGAAACTATAGCAATATTAGAATTTCACTGCTTTTAAACTCATCTATGGTAATTATCACAGTGAGACTTGAAATGTTTAAACACTTCATTTGTAACTGATCTAATATAGTTTTCCGTAAAGTGTTAAAATTATTAACAGTGTTATTGTGCTGTTTCAAGTCCAATATTCGAGAAAATGTAACTGAAACATTGTAGCCAAAAATGGCTATTTATATTATCGCTTAACAGTTTATCAGGTAATTCAACAGATTAAATGTGTTAAATCTTTTAACAGCTGATTTTGGATGCAGCTTCTATTATCTTGAGTCATCCACATCTGATCAGGAAACAATCAGTAAGTACACGATTTAACTGAATAGTACAGTGTGTAACAACAAAAGTTAAAATAGCCCAGTCCTCTGATCTTTATGTGCATTGTATATAGTTGGCTCTTGTAATATTATAGTTCATTGTTATGTAAATCCAGCATCCAATGATTAATCTTGTGATTTGTAAAGCAAATGATTGATTATTCAGCCTATGCTCCACATTGTGACCACCCAGAGGTTTTCTTACTTGTCACTTTCATATGAATCACAGGATATAAAGTGCTCATAACACACGGCTAGTCCTCAACTAAGATTCGTGGGTGTTTCTCACGCAGTGAGCCATCAGACGATTGGAAGCTACCTAATCACAGCAGCTGTTACGAATTGGCTATAAGTGCTATAAGAAGAATATGGACCTGCTTGATTACCTGGACAAGATGGACCGTGCACCACATACAAAACGAGCAGAGGACCACTGTTTATGATCTTGTCTCTCCAGAACTGTGAGATGCCTACTTCCAAAAGTGATCAGATGTTTACATCTGCAACTGGCTGATGTGTACTCGTCAGAAACTTGCTTCAAGAGGCTATCATTTATTCCAGAATCCCACTGAGCTCGCAGCAAGGCATGAAACAGTCCCCCCCCCCTGTACAAGAACACAACCAATATATCAATGACATGTGGAGCAATATCTTTTTTTTTCAGATGAGTCATGCATTACTCTTAAGCCAGATAACTGTCTTATATTCATTTGAAGAGAATCAATGACCAGCTCCAATCTCGTATTCATATAGGAGCTTGATAAGTTGGGTGGAAGTGTGGTGTGGACTATAGCTCTGGTGGAGGTACCAGTCTCTATATTCCACAAAATACTATTTATACAGTGACACTAGTACAATTAGCACAATATATTTGTGCAAACTGCTGGTACATTTGACTGTGACTTCAGTCTAAGGGGTAACATCTCTCACCCCCACTGTGCTAAGCTTGTCAGCACTCTTGAAAAGGAGAGGAATTGAGCAAATGGAGAGACCTGCACACTTTAGTCCCATTCAGCTTGTATGGAGTGCTCTTGATAGACACATTAAGTGACCACAGACAATAAAGATGTCCTGTAAACAATTCATTAAGAATAGTGATCAAGTATAACTCAGGACCTTATTAATGCTGATTTTAAGAGTGGAGTATCAGCGGCAGGTTATCCCTGTTATTTGTTTCTGTACTTCATAGTGAAGTGCTATGAGCTGTAAAAATATCAGGCACTCTCTTCCAAATATTCATTTATGAGCATGAGCTAAGTAACTAATATCCTATGTTTCAGATAATATGACACATTAGACAGTAGATGTGCAAAACATTGAACTATATCGGGTGATTGAAATTGCTTTATAAAACTAATATTACACTGTCTTAACTAAACTACCATAAATTATCGGTTTATATTAGTTGTTTTGTACAGTACGAAGATGAAGAAGTTTATTTGAAATATTTGTAAAACAATAAGAAAACCAGAATCTTTAAATATGCTAAATAATGAACTAATGACGATACACACTTTCTAATAAATGTGTCTAAGAATCTAGGGATTTCTGAGGTATATTTTCTCTTATTCTTCTCATTTATGCAACAACTGGGTTGCTCTTTAAGGAATCTGATTTGAAAGCTTGTGTGTTTGTCAAAATTTAATTAATTATTTTATACTTCTGCATAAATTATTTCCTTAAATTACCCTGTATTCATGCTTGTTTTACCTGGCTTTAAAATTTAAATGTTATTTATACAAAATTCAGTTTTTCTAACATTTTCAGAAGCTTACAAAAATTCATCAGCTTATATTAGACCTTGGGTTGATGAGAGGATCGATTATTCCTGCTGGAGAGACTCACATTTTTCATAGGGATACTTTAGGTGAGTGATTGATAGTTTAGTAAATGTATTAGTGACATGGTAATCCAAGAAATAAAAAAAGTAAGAAATTCATGGATGCAATTTAAAGATAACAGATGAAGCACTTTGTTGAAGATAAAATGAAAAAGATAGAAATGGTATCAAGTAGAAACGAAAATAAAACTGTTGGAGAAACAGTGAAAAACCGACTGATTGTGCTAACTGTAGGGCCTGTTGCAAAGTCATGAAGTTAAGATGTAAAATAAATAAATAAATAAATAGGTAAAACAATTATCAGAGATAATTGTACTGAACAGTAAAATAAGGGAAGATAGTATAGTAACAAAACATGTTTTTTGTAACGGATATTACATTTTCACTTCTTTTTACTGTGAACAAAATATTCAAGAAGAACCCGTGATTCAAAATAGTAACAGGGCTCGTTTGTACAAGTTTCTCCCATGCTGTGTGTGTATGTCTCAGTCTAAGATTTACTGTAGCAAACTAAAAGAGTTGAGATTAGATGTGTTTGTTACTGTTCTTGGCATCAAGTTTTTTGACATCATGAGTTCTGATGCAAGAACACTTTACCAAAAAAAGTCTTGTGCTTGCTGTCTTGACATTTTTATCTTTTTCTAATGCATATGCCCTCCAGTGGCACAGAGGTATGTCTATGGACTTGCAACGCTAGAAATCAGGTTTCGATACCCGTGGTGGGCAGAGTACAGATAGCCCTTTGTGTTGCTTTCTGATGCATATATTTGAAGTTTAACTGAAGTACTTCTTAAGCGACAGCCATAATGATCCTTGTATTAATAGTCTAAGTTTCTAATCTACGCATGAAGCTTAATTACAAAATCTTTGATTTATTGCAGTTTCCACGAGCATGTAAAAAATGAATATCATAAAAACTAATAAATGTCACTCTTTATCGTGTTTATATCCTTTTAACTTTATTGCTTATGTTTGATGGTTTTAGTTCTTGAAGTGAAACGAGTAACTGGAGGCGGTGTACATGTAATTTCTTTCCTCGGCATCCCAGTGATGGAGTCTAATTTGAAGAAACAGAACACTAGGAAGTCTAAGTGGCTAAAAGACAAGTTGAACCTGACCTTTGACACACAGTATCTAATACCAGGTTTTGAACAATGTAGGAGATATTTTGTGTTTTGTTCTTATTGTATTATGTGTACAAATCAATAACTTTGACAAAAAAAACTTTTATTACTATTTGTTAAAATACTTTTAGTTGTCATTATGAGGCATGGAGTAACGAGATTGTAATTTTATTTGGAGTTAAACAGATATATAAACAAACTGAGTGTTACACATGTTAGGCTTTACAATTAATTTATTTTATATACAGCATTAGGCTATAATATGGATTTAATTTAAGCAGTTGTGTGGAAATATTACAGCTGAAGAAATGCAGTAGTTCTATTTCCAAACTTAGTCATTCAAAAGCTCTTCAAGGATAATATCTATATATACCTATCCTGTAAGTTAATTTATTTAAAGTTCCAGTAATGATTTACTTTTGTTTGTCCTTCCATTACAGTGAATGACAGTATAACGATAGCTGCTGTATTCTATAAAAACATATCAATATTTTTACCTGCACGTGTCTTGGCAAGAAAGAAGTAAGTATAATTTGACTGAAGTTGAAAATCTTTTTAAAATAAGATGTATGTTTTATGTCTAAGAAACAATATTGTATTAAAGATTCTACATAAAGACAGATAGATTAAATTAGGAACATTTTTGTCTCTATTTTATGCTACTATTTATTTTTTACTTTTGTAAATACATCTTTGGTTTTATTTTATCTTTTTTTTTTATTTCCAATTATCCAAAAATATTTATGATTTTACATATAGATATTCAACATAATAAAATGTTATCTTTTAGATGTTTGAGAATAATAACTGTTATTTATTTTACAACCAAATTAAGCCATTCTACGCTTATTTAGCCGAACTTACATTGCTACTTTTGACCAGCCAGGTTGACTTTAGAAAACTGCTGTTCAAAATTTATTGGGTGAGGCAGCTTATGTTATAAATGACTTTAGAATAGTGGAAACTGATAAATGATGACTTCACTAATTCGGTGATTTCATTAAGTTTTATTTTTCTAGTGTTCAAAACATGTGACAACAACTTTGTATCATGTTATACATGGGTTTCTCTCTTTAACATTTAATAGTTAAATGATACTTGTTGAATAAGACAAAAATTAAGAAAAAATTGAAGGAACATTATGATGAATGATTTCTTTTGAAACATGATAAAAGAATAAAATAAAGAACAGAAATTTTAAATATCACATCAAGCAAAACAAATCTTGTATTTCTGTATGAACAAAGAGTGCAACTAAGAATATGTTTAAATAAAATGCAAAGATTACTGCTCAACCTATGTTTTGAGCATATAATTAGAACTGAGGAAAGATTGGAAGAGAGTCTAATGGATAAAATATTAAAAAAAAACAGGCAAAGATTCACTTGGCTTATGATATTTGATATTAGAAAATGGGCTAGAGATAAGAAGCCTGATTTGGAAAGTTTGTGCAGGTAGCAAGGAACAGAGAACAATGGAGAACCTTAGTAAATGTTCCTCAGAACTAGGGAAGACACCATGATTGATTTATGTAATCTACCATGCTAGATGGTAGCACAGATGTTAACCGCAATTATTAATTGTGAATAATGAGTGAAAATATTAATTATATCAATTAAATACATAAATAAATACACTTAAAAACAACAACCTATTTTTATTCACTCAGTAATCATTTTTATCTAAAACTGTAGATTAATATCAAATAAAAATGTTTTATTGTGTATAGGGAAAGAGCTTTTTGTGTTTAACTGTATTTATTTATGATCCAAGCATCCAAGACGTATCTTATGTCGAATTAAATCCATAGTAGTAACAGAATGAAATTAAAAATTAGGAGACAAGAAATTTAAAATATTAATATTTTGTTATTTCAACTGAATTATTCACCTTAATTAACAACATAACCCCTCCCCCAAAAAAAGCAAATGTAACATGGTTACAAAGTGATAAGAATGTTTTCAAGTTGTAAAACTCAAGATTTACATTGCAACTACTGTATATGACAATGGATTTCCTGGGTGATTATGTACACCAAAAGATGGTTATTAACACCACTCTGGAAACTCCAACCAAGCATACTCCAAAATGTAAAAATTACGTGATCAAATTCAGATGTTTCATGATGCAGTGATAGAATCATTGGTGGATATAACCTCGGATTATCTGGCTTCATGTACTACTGATAGCAATTTTACTCTTTTCATTTAGAAGCTGCACTACAGTTGAGATGTCCCACTTATCTAGATATTTTAAGAGCTACTTCTTTTTTCTTGGAATTCCATGCGGGAATATTTTCAGTTTTTGAACATCAAACTTGAGAAATATATCTAATTTTGGTGAGAAACTAGTCTAGCATTATTAGTTTCTTTCAGATGAGGGAGTTGGGTGGCAAATAATCAACAATTAAATTACATACCACCTAGTATCACTTTGTCGCACAAGAGACCAATTATTCCATATAGAGGAGGAGGCAAATCATTGAGCATAGTGATGTGCTGCCACTAGGGGGTCTATTGACATGCTCCCTCTGGAAAATGATGAAAAATTACACTCAGTTCTTTCACATTTAAGAATTAACCTTGACTAATCCATATATATATATATTATTACTATTAAGAGTGGTAACATGGTAGAAACTGTGTGCATGAACAGTCTGGACATTTTCTTGATAATGTCAATGCTGAAAATTTTTAAAACCTTTAAATGGTTTTACAGTTGCTTCAGGCCTTCATGTAATCTAAGGTACTGGAGTTACATGATTCATTAATAACTTGATGAGTACACTGGAATGGGTGGTAACTGCCTGTTGTAGAAAAAACTCAAGTGTAAAGGACAATGTTTCAAAAGTCTTCTGCCCTTTGTTGTCAGGTCATTGTGTGCAAGCTGTTGCAGGTCTTTCGTTGTCAGGTCGGTGTGTGCAAGCTGTTGCATGTCTTTCGTTGTCGGGTTATTGTGTGCAAGCTGTTGCAGATCTTTTGTCATCGGGTCATTGTGTGCAAGCTGTTGCAGGTCTTTTGTTGTCGGGTCATTGTGTGCAAGCTGTTGCAGGTCTTTCGTTGTCGGGTCATTGTGTGCAAGCTGTTGCAGGTCTTTTGTCATCGGGTCATTGTGTGCAAGCTGTTGCAGGTCTTTTGTCATCGGGTCATTGTGTGCAAGCTGTTGCAGGTCTTTCGTTGTCGGGTCATTGTGTGCAAGCTGTTGCAGGTCTTTTGTTGTCAGATTATTGTGTGCAAGCTGTTGCAGGTCTTTCGTTGTCAGGTCATTGTGTGCAAGCTGTTGCAGGTCTTTTGTTGTCAGGTCATTGTGTGCAAGCTGTTGCAGGTCTTTTGTTGTCAGGTCATTGTGTGCA